ACTCAGCATCTCCACATTGGCTTTACCAAGGATGTTTTGAACAGCAGGCCTTCCTGGTTCTATGCCGGAAGAGTTGTGATTCTTCACACTCTGAAATGGTGCGCGAGACGGATATTGCACGTACTTTGTTGTCCTCATCATCTCCATCAGACTTTGCCCAGTGCATGGCAGAATATGTTGCTTTAAAAACAAATAATGCAAAATTTAAGGAACTCCAGGCTGGCATTGTATTCATCTCAACCGATGCGGAACTCAGACTTTAACCACTCATTGGTTGGCTGCAGGCAGGGTAATTGTAATTTCAAATCTGGATTCAAATATGTACGAGAATCAGCATTGCATTTATTAAGATGAACTGTCCTGTCAGGCCACCAGCTTTGGGAGTTAAAATATGTATATGAAATGCACAGGACATACATAATGTGTAAGCATAAATGCTCTTTGAATCCAAGCTAAATATAGTTACTCATTCAGCATTAGCTGTTGTTCCTTAATTGAGAACATAAAGAAATCTGATCTCCCCATGTAGGGCAGGAAATAAAAGGCTGAAGAGTTCAGAGAGATTGGGCCTGTGTAAGGGGGTAGGGTACATAGCCAGAAACCTTGAGCAGAGTCTGGGAGCTCAGAGTAGTTCTAATGGGCAGGCAGCAGAAGAAAAGGGTCTTGGTTTGTGGAACATAAAAGTTGAATTTGGCCAGGCACCATGTAAGCTTGAGGGAGGAGAGAAAGCAAGGGAAACCCATGGACCATACAGCATAGCTAGATGTGGAGGTGGAAGAACATGGGATGTATTGACATCTAGAAAGAGGATCATTTTAGATGCTGGGATGTGGCTCAGTTGGTAGAGTCCCAGCCTAGCATGCATGAGGCTCTGGGTTTAGGCACCAGCACTGTATGGAACTGGACATGGCAGTGTGTGCCTATGAATCCAGCATCTGGGAGAATCTGAAGTTCATCCTTGGTGAGAGCTGTGTGGAACAGGGTACTCAGCCATTGGTTTTATTTGTGGCTGCCTTTCTGTCTTCAACTTCTTTTCTGCCCCTTCAGAGTGCCCACCCCTTCAGAGTGATTTCTGCCACCAAGAAGTAGAGATCTAATGCCCACTTTCAGGATGTGGGTCTCTGCATTATGTGGTTTTCTAGCATCCAAGACAGCACCTGCCCCTAAGCTCTTGTTCCTTGGCAATGAATGGTAAAAGCCAGATCTTATACCAGAAACCCCAACCCCAACCCGAACCCCTGTGACAGCTATTTGCAAGGAGTATAGAGAGGAATCTGGAAGGAAATGGCTGTATTAGTTTGTTTTCTATTGCTGTAGTAAACACCATGACCAGAAGCAACATGGGGAGAAAAAGGTTTTATGTGACCTATACATCCCAATCACAGTCCATCACTGAGGAAATTCAGGACAGTAACTCAAGCAGGAACAGGAACAGGAATGACAGAGGAGCACTGCTTACTGGCTTACTCCCCATGGCTTTCCCAGCCTGCTTTCTCTTGTCTTCTCTTCCCTTTCCTTCCATTTCCTTTTCTTCCTTCCTTCCTCTCTTCTTCCTCCTCCTCATTCTTCTTTTTTCTTCTTTTCTGACACAGGGTTTCTCTGTGTAGCCCTGGCTATCCTAGAACTCATTCTGTAGATGAGGCTGGCCTCAAACTCACAGGGATCCACCTGCCTCTGCCTCTGCCTCCTGAGTGATGGGATTAAAGATGTGCACCACCACCACCCGGCCAGCAGCCTGCTTTCTTATACAACCTAGTATCACCTTGCCCAGGGGTGGTACCATCCACAGTGGGCTGAGCCTTCCCACATCAATCAACAATCAAGAAAATTCTTAGACATACCCACAGGCCAATCTGATGGAGAGAAGAATTTCTCAATTAAAGTTCCCTCCTCCCAGGCAACTCTAGTTTGGGTCAAGGTGACAAAAACTAAATAGCACAAGGCTTTTGCTTTGGGAACCTTATAAGGTTCCTACTGGATCATCTATATTTATCTGTCTGTGTTTATATCTATATCTATCTATGTCAATACCCTCAACTATCTACATCTATCTCTATATCCATCTCTATCTAATATCTCTATCTTATGTATATCTGTATGTATAGATTTACATATGTTTATGTCTATATTTCTATCTGTATCTATCTAATATCTATATGTATCTATATCTCCTATCTATCTATATCTCTATCTGTATCTATTTTTTATCTAAAAGGTTGATGACTAAACATATTTCATGGTTGTAGGCACAGAATAATCTCTGTTTTTGTATACTTCTCCTCTGGAAAATTTCAATTAAACAAAGCTTTACAAACCTGCTCAGCATTGATTTCTCATTACCTCAACGATCTGGTTATTTCTCCATTTAAGAAAGAATGAGTCCAGTGGCTTTCCTGGGTGTTTTTATAGCTTAGTTTTATAGCTTCAAAATTAAGATCCATATGACATTTAATAGAAACTGTGAATTCCTATTCTGCCAGGATTGGGATCTTCAAGGGAGGCTCATGCTTATCCTATAGAAAGCTTTCTATTTGTTCTTTAGGCAACTGTAGAGAAATAAACTTTGGAATATTAATGAGGGCAGTGACTAATGTTTATAAAGGTCATGTTATATTCCAACTCCTATTCTTAGTGGTCAACATGACTTGTTTTCTTTTATTTATTTATTTTTTTCAAGACAGGGTTTCTCTGTGTAGCTCTGTGCTGTCCTGGAACTCAGTCTTTAGACCAGGCTGGCCTTGAACTCAGAGATCTGCCTGCCTCTACCACCCAAGTGTTGGGATTAAAGGTGTGCACCACCACTGCCTGGCCAAATTATGTTTTCTTAAACATACATTTTCTTTTTGAGACAATGTCCGCATAGCCCAGGCTGTTCTCAATACCTGATCCTCCCGCCAACCCCACCCCCATCTTCCAGTGCAGAGATTATAGACAGCCACCACCATACTGAGTGTATGAAGTCCTGGGGATCAGATTCAGGGCTCCATAAATGGCTGAGCTACATCCCCATCACAAGGCATATGTCTTTCTTAGCAACAGTGCCTTTTTCTTTAAGCAGGGAGGACTTTGTGTTTGGGGAAAGCAAGGTACTCAGGCTGGGAGGTGGTGGTGCTCAGGGGGTCTTGTTTCCATTGGAAATACACCATGGCCTGCAGGCACTTTCTGTTGCATGCTTCTCCTTCATCCAGAAGATGGAGGTACGACTCTCTGGAAGTAGAAAATGCTGTGCCAAGTGCTTTGTAGATTTTTGAATAATCAAATCTAGACAGTATCTGTTTTCAAATTTAAATTTAGAGCCAGCAAGATCACTTAATGGTAAAAAGGCACTTACCAGGGAGTCTGAAGATTTGAGTATTATCCCTAGGACTTTAATGGTGGGAGAAGAGAACCGACCTGCAAGTTGTCCTATGACTTCTACATGCTTTAAAAAAAATGAAAACAAACAAAAATAATAGGTATACAAAAATAAATAGAAGTTAGTTAAATAGTCACTAAAAGTCCAGTTCCCAGTCTCTGTGCATTTGGAAGCTCAGAGGTCCCAGCCGGTGTAGGCCAGGGCTCCAATGTGGACAGCGAGGGCCCTGGGCAGAGAAGAGCTTTGACAAGCTGGGCTCAGCCTCTATGTATGGTGCACAGGCAGGGTCAACTCTGTGAGTCAGGACAGTTACACCTACCATGAGCGGGTTGACAGAGCGAGTCTTTGCCCCAGTGACCGAGGTCCTGCAAAGAGCCCAGCCCAGGTGAAAGATGCAGAAATGGACGTACACACATATGCGCGTGCGTGCACACACACACACACACACACACACACACACACACACACACACCCTTCCTCCATCCCCTCCTCCTTACCTTGCCCCCTCCCTTCTGCTTTCCTTTTGGGAGGAATTCTGGCACTTTCCCACCTAGCAGTCCCCCACAGTGGCTTCTCTCAGCCTTTCCTTAACCAGGTTCATCAGGAGTAGGGACCCTTTCCTGTCTGATGCCCAACCCTACCCTTTGCTGGAGACAGATGGCACAGTCAAGCCTAGGGGAACCCCCTAGTGACCCACGGAGCCTGGGCTTGATGAGTGTGGCTGGATGGAGAGAGACACCAGATGGGGCTCATGCCTCAGGATAACGGAAGCTGCACCTGGGGTTAGCTCGGCCGTGGACCTTAGCATCTCCTGGGCTCTGTACTGGCCTAGCTATCAGGGTATTGGGGCAACATCAAGAGAATCATACTAGTCAGGAATCTCCCCAAAATATGAGGGAGAAAGGATGAATGGTTTCTCCAGGGAGCTCCACGTGTCCCCATCATCCCAGCTTCTGCACAGTCACTTGCTAACATGCAAAGCTCGCCTCTGTGTTGTCTCCAAAACAAAGATGAGGTCCACCTCATGGACCTCCAACCTGGGGAAGGGGGCCAGTTGTGGCCCAAAGGGATGGTTCCTCCCCTTACTCTTTCAGTCTGCCTATGTCCTATGAGGGTTCAACCAATCCCACTGCAGGATCCCTCATCAGGCACGGAGGTGGGTGGCAGATATAATGGCATCTCTGAATAGGTGCAGAACAGTGCTGCTCTGTGGGTGTTCACTGGAAAGAAGGTGCTGGCTGGTGAGTACCCTGGAAGTCAGCAGGTGTCTGAGTTATCCCTTGGAGGATGCCCTTGGGCTGTCACGGGCAGGGTATTGCAAGAGGGAAAGGTGGGAGCTGCAAGTAGGCTCAGTCATCCGCTGGGTGCCTCTGCTTGTGTTTCCCACTGTCCCCTCTTCCTGTGGGCTTTGTCTCCACTGTGTCCCATCTTCACCAGGCAGCACTTGGTCCTACCTGTGCTATTTATTTCAGCAGCCACCTCCATTGCAGCACCTTTCCTGGCCTTGGGCCACCAAAGGAAACTGTTTGAAATAATGAGAATCAGTTCCACCCACCACGTCTGAGAACCCTCTGTGCTTCCCATCACATACAGGGAGTGATGCATGTGCTAGACCAGGCTCAGGGCCCTGCACAGGGCCCACTATGCCTTCCTTCACCCAGATCCACTGGTTATGGCCCACAGGAGCTGGTTGCTGTGTAGAATGCCATTCCCATGCTAGCTCCTTTGTTGCAGAGCTCTCCTTAGTCTAGGTAACGGCAGGGTTCCCACCATAGCACCAGATCTGCAGTTTTAATTTCTTCTTTCAATCTCTTGTAAATGAGCCACTGCCTCCTCATCAGCCCCAAGCTCCTGGAGGGCAGGGCTGAGGAGGAGAGCTGTGGAATGCTGTCTGCTGGGCAGGACATGGTAGTCACACCCATGGACTCACAGGGTAGCGTTTTTAGCTACCACCCAGTTGCTGTGAAAACACCATGCAACTTATAGAAGAAAGAGGTTATTTTATTTTTGACTCACAGTTCTAAAGGATTAGTGTCCATAATGGCACGGACAGCATGGTGCACAGGGCAAGAGCAGGAAGCTGAGAGCTCATATCCTTGACTGTAATTATGAAGCAGAGAGTAAATCAGTAATGGTTGTGGAGTCCTTTTTATCTCAAAGCCTGACCCCAGTAATCTATGGTCTCCAGCCAGTCTGCATTACCTACACCTCCCCAAACAGCATCACCAAGTGGGGACCAAGCGTTCAAAAGACTAGGCAGAGGACATTTCTCATTCAAGTCACCACACCTGCGTAAGACCCACCCAAGATCAAGCCAATCAAAGCTCCTGCCCAAATGGGGTAGGAGGGTTCCCAGGGCTGTAGCCCTAGCTGAGAATCTATTGGAAGCTGATGGCTGCCGGGGAGGGAGAGTCATTCTTAGGAGTATGTGGCTACTGGTAGGTTGCTCATAGCCCAGTGGGTGACTCTAAAATCATCTGCTACTAATTTCAGTGAGTTAGTTTTTTAAAGAGAGATGAAGGTAAAAAGATGTGTTGCGGGGACTAGTAGAGAGCTGGGCTGAGAAAGTACAATGGATTGAGATACTTTGTATACGTATATGAAATTTTCAAAGAATTAAAAATGTTATTTTTTTCTTTAAAGAAAGAAAGGATACAGTTCCCACCACACCAGCAACAGAGGATGACATGGGAACAAAGTGAACTGCAAACAGTTATCTGAAGACAAACAATGCTTGCTTGTATCACTTAAAAACAAACAAACAAACAAACAAACAACTTGATACAGCTGTCGGAGCCAGGCTCTGCACTCCTGCAACCCTGGAGACAGCTCTGGTCTGCACCTTCCTTTCATTTAGTTGGCTGTGTTCTTTGTATTTCTGAGTGATTTACTGAGTGTGCCACTACTGGCTACTCACTGGGGATGGGCAGCACGTGGTTTTCCCAAGGCTGATTTGTAAACAACCATGACCACTCACTCTGAGCTCTCTGAAGAACTGGGCTTCTATACATGATTTTTATTTTAATTGCTTTAGTGTATGCATCTTCTCTGCCTTTTACTGATCTCCACTGGTGGCTTTCAAGAGTACATTCTTGGTCCTAGAGAAAGCGCTACCCTCAAAGACACTTGACCTGCTTTAATACCCTGTGGTGCTCTGGGGTAAGAGCTGTGCAGAACCTATGATTGCTCCAGGTTGACTGACTGCAGATCAGCCTCTGCTCCAATTTAGTGTGGGCACTCCAAAGACCTTTTTCTGTGGCCTTTGCTCTGTAGTTCTTTGGTCTGTTTGGTGCGGTGGCCCCTGGTAGGTTTCAGATATGCAGTCTGATGTTGCACACATAGCATGGATTCATGGGAAGCCATGGAGTGTGGACCAGTCAAAGGCATCCTAGCTCCTGACCTTTGCCATGGCTCCTGTCCTTTGCCAGCTTCTTCTGGTTGGGAGTGACTCAGGATTTTTTCTGTCCTTGAGTCAAGGAAATGGGTTAGGCTTACCCATGATGTGTTTGCCATAGCACCATAGTCAGTGTGGACAGATAGGGCCAACCATGGGTATGGGTCTTCTCCCTGGATCACATTACTCTAAAAGCTGGATATCATCTGAGAGGAAGGAGAAAGTAAGTGCTCGGCTGCAGGCTGTGGTGTTTATGGCTGATTAAGCAGCTGAGTCCCATGGAGGCATTTGGGACCCAGGGCCAGCTGCCAGCCAAGTGAGTCCACTTGTGCTATAGCTGAGCAGGGGACTGGGTGGTCCAGGGTGGTGTCCCTCTTGCAGTGGCATTGCATCTCTGTCCTTGGTGTCTCATCCTCAGTGAGGTTGCCCCAAGCATCTTTCTGTGTCATTTCTTAAGTAGACTTGAGAGAGAAGAGCAGAAACTAAAGCTAGATTTTACTTCTAAAATCTACTAGAGTTTCCATCTTGAAAGCTTTGCCTGTAAGTCACAACAATATTATATCATCACAACTTCTGACATACCACATGGATAAAAGTAAGATCCCAGGCTTGTCCACTTGCTGTCACAGAGAGGAAAAATAAGTCTTGACACCAATAGGAAGAGTGACAGAACTACAATGCAAAGACCCCTGCATGAGGTTTGGAGGGCCCGTGGCAGCTGACTTTGCAGACAGTCCTTGACCAAGAGCAAAGGAAACAGTGGCAGGTAGCTCTTCCACTCACAGAGACAGTATCCTGGCTTCATATGGTGCTTCTGATTTCTAGCTATGATCTCTCTTGTATCAAGTCTTCTTTTCCCAGATATCATTGCTGAGGAAACAAACAAACAAACAAATGGGCGTTTTATCAGAGTCCATCCCCCATCATCCAGGATTTTGCTCTAAAATTGTCCCACATTTTGCAGTGATATTAAGCAAGGATCCCGGCTTCAGCCCAATCATCCACATCAGAGAAATCAAAGATATGGTCAGCATCATAAAGTAATCCCCAAGTGCTAAGCCCCTCAAATAATTTTAATATGAAGGCTGTTCTGCCACACGGTGAGAATAAATACGTTATGTTTTTATGGTGAAAAGAACACCAATTTACTACAAAATGTGTATGTAATACATAAAAATAAAATCCCACCCACATAAATGTTGCTATTTATATTGCCAGCTATAAAAGGCATTCAACATTTAATTAACAATAATTTTGAGAATATGGGGACGTTCCTTCTTGACAGTAAAGTCTCAGCCACTGTCTCCTGGTTAGAATTTACTCAAGCTGAGTGGCTAAGAGAATAAAAGTAATTAAATGTTTATGAGTTCCTGCGTGAGTGTCTTAGTGTGTGCTCATTCTTACTTGTGCGTGTATGGGTGTGGGGGTGAGGTTGAATTACCACTTATGGGAGTCAATTCTCTCTTTCCATCATGTGGGTCTTGGGGATTGAACTCAGGTTGTTAAGCTTGGTAGCAGGCACCTTTACCTACTGAGCCATCTCTCTGGCCTGACATATACAGAGTTTCTTAATCTTAATGTTTGCACTACTCTGATTCCCCCACTGAAAGCCTTGTTTCTCTAGGCTGTGAGTCAGACATGAGGAGTGGTGATGGGGTGGCGGTCGGGGTGGTGGGTGGGGGATGATCAGGCACTGGTGCAGACATAGGCTTTCAGGCAGCTCCTCAGGCTCCCCTCCGCTCATCACTCATATGTGTTTCTCTTCCACTTCCTGTTTTCCAGGAGTTCATTCAGTTGGCAAAGAGACTGCTTAGCGATCCTGCGCTGGAGAAGGAAATCGTGACCAATGGAAGGGAGTACGTGAGGACACACCATTCCTGGCAGGTGGAGAGAGACACCTACCAGCGCCTCGTCCGGAAGCTGGAGGATTAAATGATGGAAGTCTATGTTTGCCACATCTGTCCAACAACCGTCTGGTGCTCAGCTCTGGGTAGATGCCAAAAGATGGGACCTAGTCCTGGACCACTGAAATCCTAGAGTCCCCAGAAACATATCCACCCCCAACTCCCCTGTGTGGCAGACACAGTTCCAAAAGTGCTTACAGCTCAGTTCTGGATGGGCTTATAGCTCACTCCTAAAAGTGCTTAGGGCTTGGTCACAGATGTGTTTACGGCTCTTTGCAGGTGATGGAGGTACATCTCTGGGGGAGTGCTCCAAGAACTGCTTTTAAAACTTATGGAGGTTCCATTTTAAGCAACCACAGTACAGACCCTTCTCCTGCCTTCAGAGTGACTTTTGCCTGTCATTGCCAGTTCACAAGAAACAAAAAGGCCAGGACTGTCAACTGAGTGGAACTGGCAGCATTTTTGATAAGATCTTGACAGGGTCCTAATGGGCATGTGAGGGTGGGCCCCAACTGTGGCTGGTATGTTAATAATCTCTGGAGAAGCTATGAATGGGTTCTATCAGAACATGTCACTCCTCACTGGTGCACCCTGAGGGATGCTTTCCAAAAGAGGTCTGCAGGCCCCACCCACCTGTATCATGTCACAGAGAACATAGAAGATGATGGAGGCTGGGACCTTGAGTTCAGTGTGGGTGCTTTTCCCTCTTATTGCTAGGGAATTGAGGGCAAGTGTTGACTAAGTCACAAGACAATGGTGGGACCCAAGACTGTGACAGGAGGTCACTGGGGTATGGGGAGGTCAGCCTGAGGGTCTTTCGGTGGGATCTCCTTACACCAGCACACTGTGTGTTCAGTGCCCTCTTGCTGAATTCCAGCAAGGCTATGCTACTGTAAGCAAGACATGGAATAGACACCTGTGCTAAAGCAAGCAGCTTGGAGGCAGAGAGAAGAAAAATGCAGACAGGAGACACACATCAGGCTCTGGAGGGAACTGAGGAGGACTCAGCACCGAGAGAGAGAGAGAGAGAGAGAGAGAGAGAGAGAGAGAGAGAGAGAGAGAGAGAGAGAGAGAATTTATGTGTGTTTGTATGTGTGTGTGTTTTGAGGGAGGAAGGAAGGAAGAAAGGAAGGAAAGCTAGAAGCAACATTTCATTTTAAGAGAAGCAGGCTAGAAGAAAGTAAACCAGTGCTTCAGGGATAAGACTAGAGCCCCATTCCATAGGATACAGTCAGGCTTTCCATTTCCATACCTCAGATCTTGCACAGTCACTTTCACGAAGGCTCCAGCCAAGGTATCGGCAATCCCAAAGTCCTTGAGCACCTAGTGTCTGGAGGCCAGCTGAGCAATGTACTCATTTCCTTGGCCCCTGACTTGAGCTGGGGTCTTATTCTCTGGGCACAAGGAGAGGGAGGCAGTAATTAAGCCTGAATCCCGAAGGCAGTTCCTCTGAGCCCAGAGTTCAAATCCACCTCAGGAGAGGTATGCAGAGGTCAGGTGTCATTGTTTACAAAGTGGGATGCTCTGGAAAGCACACCTCTCCTTTGCCCGGGGTTGACACCACTGCCAGACCTCCACCATGCCAGCATCACTACTTCTGCAATGAGCACTTTGGGGAAGGGAGGGTTCTTAATTAATAAAACGTGTCACCATCAACCATACAAAGGCAGCACTGTTTATTCATCCCAGGTGTACTGCTTGTGGTCCCTGAGAAAACAAATATGATACTTAAGTGTCTGAATAGAGGGGTTTGACATGGACTTAAACTAAAGTGCGATAGTTTTCCCTTTCAGTAACAGACACTTTAGTTACAGATAAAGAGGAGAGGTTCACGCAGGCTCACAGCTTGGAGTTTCTAATCTATACCTGGTTGGCCCTATTGCTCTGGGCCTGTGGCAAAGGAACATCTTGACAGGAATAATTGGCAGAGCAAACCTGCTCCCTTTGTACCTGGGAAACAAAAGAGAAAGAAGAGGCAGTGGTCCTAGAACCCCACTCAAGGTTGATAATGACCTCCAGACCACACAGTAGGCCCTATCTCTTTAATATTCCACCTTCTCAGAGGGGCACACTGCAGCTGTTTTTTCAGGTGAGTGTGTGGGAGACACTCACCACACAGGCCCAAGAGGGAGGTTCGCAAATGTTTGAGCACTTAGCAGGCACCGTGTACAGCCTGGCTCTTGCCAGCCTTATGACTGCTACTTCACTCATGACAGTTTCATCATATCAGCCCCTCACAGACTAGGGTGCAGTGAATGTTCCATTCTCTTTCTAGTCACCATGACAGAATCCCTAGCAGTAGCAACTGAAGGGAAGTGGGATTTCCTTTGGCCCATCTGCCAGGGCATTCAGTCCACCCCAGAGGCTGTGATGACTCTGTGTGGCAGGGCTGTCTTTGGCTGATCATAGAGTTGGGGTAGGAAGCTATGTCAGGCCAATATCTTCAAAGGCATGTTTCCAGGGACTCCCTCCATTGGCCAGGACTCCCATCCCAAGGTTCCACAGCTTCACTACCAGCTGGGTTATCCAACATAAAAGCCAATTGGATGGTTCTCATTTCACTGCAGTAACCCCGGCCTCCATTTTGTCAACCCCAGCACTTCCTGCCTCTTTCCCAACATTTGCAATTCTGCTTTACAGACCAAACAACACGTTATTTACTTATTTAGATTTACTTTTATGTATATATGTATGAGCATGCATGGGTTCATGTATATTCAGAAGCCCTCAGAGGCCAGTAGGAGGCATCAGCATACTTGGAGTTGGAGTTTCAAATGACTGTGAGCTGCCTAATATGGGTGCTGGGAACTGAACCCTGGTCTTCTCCAAGAGCAGTAAGTATCTTTAACTGCTAAGCTGTCTCTCCAGACCCTGTGGTGGTATTTAAAAATTTTTAAACATTTTCAGCACTCATCAGAGTGACTGACTTAACAGGGATATAGAGGAGGACTCTGGGGACATTGTATTTGATAACAGGAAAATAAAATTAGGGCCTAGGGAGATGGTTGCTAAGTGAGCCTGAGGACCTGAGTTTAGATCCCAGCACCTATGTAAAAAGCCATGTTTAGCCACTGTTGTGTGACTTTTCCTGGAAAAAAAACTACTCACCCTAGATAGAAAACCCATGGCACACTAATGCACAAATACCACCAAGGCCCAACTTGGTGAACCAGTGAGTTTGTAGGTGTTACTTATAGGAGTGTGGGTGAGGAGTTACATAAGAGCTTAGATTACTAGCTGCAAAGGCCAGCCAAGTGCCTCTTGGCAACAGGTGCAGGCAGCTTAACAGGTCAGAGAGTTCCTTCTTCCTCAGGTACCCCACCTACCTATGTAATCTTGAGGGAAGGAGAGGCCTTGTGTGTCTGTTCAGTTTCAGGGTCTTCTTGAGACTTGTGAGTTGTTTACTCACAAGTTTTAATAGCCTCTCTCCAAGATAGAATGTTTTGACTCAGAAGAAATTACTATTTAACAATCATATATGCCTATAAACAGTGTTGTGGGGATCCTAGACAGGAGAGTCACTGGGGTTTACTGTTCACCACACTGGCTCCAGGCTCTCAGTGAGAGTTTGTTTCAAAGAAATAATGCAGGGCCTAGAAGGATGGCTCAGTGGCAAAAAGTATTGGCTCTTCCTCTATAGGTCCTGGGTTCAGTTCCCAGTACATACACACACACACACACACACACACACACACACACACACACACACACACACCAGAAAATCCCCAAATGAGTAGTGGTTTAAACAATAAGGGAAATTAATCCTTTCCCTCTGAAATAACAAGATCCACACCTTTTCCATCTTGCTCTTCCTCCCCCTTATCAGGAGGGAGGCGGCCATTACTAG